GATTTAGTGCCGTCTAAGTGTAAGATTCTAGTGCATAAGGCTCTCTGTCTATATATATATATACATCTGTATATATGTGTGTATATGTATAGTGTCTATATATATATCGCAGCGATAGGGCAGAGTGAAAAGACCGTGGCAATGTGTTCATACGGCCATAGAACTCTATACTTTTATCGTATCTATTTTCGCGATATTTTTGCGATAATCAGTTTCTTCAAATCGCGTTTAAAATGCGTTTTGGCCAACACTTGAGCAAACATGAGACTGAGACAAACCACAAAAACAACAGCAACAATAACAGCGACCACAACAGCAACAATATACCAAATTCTTGTGCAACAAATCAAAAGACTAAGGTAAATACAATGCAACTCAAGCCGAAGGTTCCAGTAGTCAGAGCTTAATCAAGTCTGATAAATGAATCACAGAAATATAGTTAGTTAATAATTTTATACTTTTGCTTTTGATTTGGCTAACCATGTCCTAGCGCACAGTAAATCCTGCCTCATGTTCTGTGAAAGTTTTTTTATTTGCCAATGCTGCTGCTACGGCTGGCAGTTCAATAACCTTCCGAAATTCGCAGCCAGTAATAGCAGCGACAGCAGAGAGTGTCCTGACTCCACGCCAGACACAAACAACAACAAGAAGCGGCAGACGTCGCTGCCTCTGCTCTGCTGTGGTGCTGCTGCTGCTGCTATTGTTGTCTCGCTTGCACGCATCGAAATCGAATCGGGTGTCCCGTCTGAATGGCTGGAGTGCAAAAAATTAAAAGTGAAATTTTGTGCGCTGGCGCCTGCGCCGCTGCACTCCGGGTCCTTGCCCGCAGTCGCTGCGCAGCCGACGCCAAGGGGCAGCGCCAGGCACTGCACAAACTGCACACTGTCAAGACCACAACCCAATGCGAGGCCCAGGACCAGCACCACTACCAGGACCTTCGTATCGCCTGTCGTTCGCCTCTTGCTCGTCGTCGTCGTCTGCTGTCTGCTGTGCATTGTGTACAGCTTTTGCTGTCGTTGTCCTGTCGTTTGTGTGTTTCGCTTTCCGTATTGGGTGTGTATAACACAAGCAGCCGGCAAAAGCCGACGACCGTGCAACGTACGTGCCCAAAAGTTCATTGAACGCGTCAGCGATTTATGTATGAAAAGCGAAAAGGATAATGAGCAGCAGCAGCAGCAGCAGCAGCAGCAGTAGCAACAGCAGCGGTGGCGGCAGCAGCGGCGGCTGCGTCGGGCCCTGCCCCAACATTTTGTGGCAGCATTGGCAAGGCGTCTGCTGCGGCCACTTCCCCGTATGCCAGCTATACGTACTGGCGTCGTCTGGCGCTGAAAAGGGTCGTTCGCCTTTTCTGTTGTCTGGCAAATTTTACTTTGACTTTTTTCCGAGCACCCCTCCCCCACCCACATACACTCGCACACACACACACACAGTTAGTCTGGTGCTGCTGCTGTCTGCGTTCGCCTTCGCCTTCGCCTTCGCCCTCTTGCGAGCGCTTTACGTCTCGAATTTATGCGCATTTTCAATCGCTTTGTCGTAGGTCGTGTTTGTTGTTGTTGTGTTGTCAAGGTAATGTCGCCCACAGGATTATGGGCAGCATAGCCATGTATGTATGTGCCAACATACACGCTGGCATATCCTGCCTGTGATCACCGTTACCTGGCAGCGCACATCTTAATCTCTCTCTCTGCCTATGCCCCTTATGCTTGCATATATCAGTTTTATTTTTTCTTAATTGCCCTCGCGTCTGTGGCGAAATTGCCCATTTGGCAGCGACATCATCTGCTGGCTGGTAGCCATGACATCATATTGTGTGCCCCCCGTTAACTGTCTGTGCGCTGCATTTGACCTTTGGGTTCAGTGAACCCGCAGCGACTGCGGCCAGCAGATGATGCAATGCAGCCTAGGCTAACAACTGGATCAGCTAGTTACTATGGGATATATTGAGATTACATATTAATCTATATATATTGTATATGATGTGTTTAGTAATATTATTAATATTATTATCATTATCAAGTGAAGTAATAGTTGTATTATTATTATTATTATTATGTGGAGAATCTATACATCAAGTTTCTATTTGATATATCAAATATGATATATGAAATTATTCATTATCTAGAAATTTTCATAGCATACAAGCAGGCGCTTGCTAGGCATTTCCTCTTAGACAGGCTACAGTCACCTTTGGATGAGAATATCTTGACATAATTCTATTCCACTTTACTTAGCCACATATTATAATAAACCCATCCGAATAACATTTTCTTACTTACAACATTTCCCTTAATCAATCTGCGACAAACTTACTATACCAACCAATACGCCCCATTTGTCTCAGGCATTTGCAGCGCAACGCATTCTAAATATTTAACGCACGTAACAAACAGAATCACCGCAAAACGTTGAATACTTTAATTAGCACTAACAAAATGAACTGCAACAAATGTAAAAACTTTCACTGCGCAATAGGCGAGGAAAATAAAGAAAAATAGAAAGAAAAACAAAGCGAAATAAATTTCAAATCAGCTGATAAGAAATGCCAAGTGCATGGCGAATGCAAAAGGGCGCAGCAGGCGGAGGCGAGCACACAGAGCGATAGTTAACTGTAACTAAACGTAGCTGATAAGCGGACAGTGGACAGCGGACAGCGAGGAGGCGGACAGATGGCGGACAAATGGGGCGAAGCGGACAAAGAACAAAAATTGCATTCAATTTACGATTAGGCGGCGAAACGACCTACGTCAAAGCCGAAAAGCTAATAAAATAAGGTAATCAATAAAGCTAAATATGTATTTATATATAAATATATGAAGCTGTGTATGTGTGTGTGTAAGTTTGTAAATAACGATTTATGGGTTGAACAACAAACAGTGAGAGAGAGAGAGAGAGGGAGAGAGAGAGATGAGCAGAGAGAATATTAAAATGTTAAGCAGATAAATTACAAATGCAAAATTTAAACAAATTTCATATACTATATAAAGTATATATACATAAACATTTATAAATGTCTGTTTATATATATATGTATAGATTTATTTGTAAGGGGTTTAATATACTTTCGCTTTTAATTGTTGTTATTGCTGCAGTAAAAATGAAATTTTGTTGTTGCTGAAATGCAAAGTCGAGCTGCTGAACACTTGGGCTTGGACAGCAGCAGCAGCAGCGACTGAACGGCAGGCAAATGGCTAATTAATATGCGAATACAGACAGAAAGCAACAACCAATTGATAAGCAATGCGAGAGTGAGAGAGAGACCGAGAGTGAGAGAGAGAGAGAGTGTGTGTGCATTGAGCATTGCACATGCGCCAAAAGTGAGCAAGAAATTTCAAGGTTAAAGTGCAACGAAACCGCAACAATACTTTTACACAACCCTCTGCACTAGCATCGGCAGTTGCTGAGGGGTTGGGTTCGCTCTCATTTATAGATACATTTTTTGCATACTCTTTTCTGTTTTACTTTGTTTTTGGTTGTATGCATATGCATCTTGGTGTTTGTTTAGTAAATTGCAATTAGCATAAATTGCTGGCCTTGAATTGTAAATATTAATTTCAAGTTGCTTCGCTTTTTATTAGATAACAAATATGAGTGTGTATGTGTGTGTGTGTGTGTGCACAAAAGATACTCGCTTTGAGATACATTTACATAGATGCATATAGAAATTCGTTGCATTCTATTCGCATGCACATTCTCGACTTGTGACTCAAGGTTATGATGATGCTGATGCTCACTGACTGACTGACTGACTGCAAGTGCCTCCGCCTCTAATGCTTCCCACACACACACACACACACACGCACACACATGCACTGGCAGACTGTTAAAAAAGCTTTGGCAATTATTGTACACTCACACACACAGAGAGATTCTATTCAGCTTAGCACACAATTTTATTTTATCAGCTGAATGCACCGCCTCCCATCTGCACTCCGCACTCTATGCACACAGCCCCCAATATCTGCCCCTCTCGTTCTCGCTTCGCCTCCTCTGCTAACCCTTTGTCGTGTTTTCGTTTCGTTTTTGCATGCACATAAAATAAATGCGAATGCTCAACAGCTACAACAGTTCTGTCAGATATTTGTCGCGGATTTATTGTTGTTGCTGCTGCTGCTGCTGCTGCTGTTGCTGCGTTTATTTCTCTAGCGCACATTTCGTATTTACATTTCCGGGTTGTTGCACGCCCGTTAAATATTTCGCAGCATTATATTTGCTAGCAAATTGGTTTTTGCTCTCTCTCTCTCTCTCCCCCTCTCTCACTCTCTCTGTGTGTGTCGTTTCAGTCGAGATGCATAGACATCATAATTTATGCCACACGCAGTTAATAGAACATTTTCAAATATCACATTTATCATCGTTTTGTTTTGTATGCTGAATAGCTAAATAAAATATTGAATAGAAATTATATGCGCTTATACAAATGTTTCAGACTCTTGACAGCTGTCAGAACTAGTTGTTAATTGAGATCAAGAGGTTATCTAGAAAAATTCATTTATTCATATTAAATAAAATAATAATAACTGATAACATTATAGCTATCATTATCATTACAGATCATCGTAAAGATTTGCTCTAATTCAAGGTCTTCTTAATACCTCATAAGTATTAGAGCAACAGCTCTACTCCCTCTACTTTCATCTCTCTCCCTCTCTCTCACACACACATTACTGCCTTTAACATTGCCCTCAAGTGCCTATTCCTCACACTCACACGCACACACTCACTGCTCTTCCTCATAGTTGTCTAATCTGAGCTACTTATCTCTTATTTGTTTGCTCTCTTCTGCCCAAGTACTATATACGGTTTTTACTTGCCTGTCTGAGCTACTGTTCACACATCAATTGATTAGCGCACCCTTTGCAGCTGACTCATCGTGGAATATTAGATATTCCGCCACAGTAGAGAAGAGTCTGGTGAGGCAAAAAAAAAAAAAAAAAAAAAAAAAGAACGCAATACCCTCCCCAGCGGCCACACCCCTAAGTAAACAAATATTTGCATTGCACTTATAAATACATCGTAAAATTTGTTTATTCATTGAGACTACTTAACGTCGATATGCGTAGATTTCCTAGATAGTGCAATAGACGCAAGGCCACCCGCTGAGCCCTGACGCCCCCAGCTGGTGTGAGCGAGATGGCAATAGTTGTGCATATATCTTATTTAGGAGCGGACATTTTATGGCATTTGTTACACTTATCAGCATATATATAAATGTATATACATATATAGGTAGTATATGGGTCTGCGGTTAGTACAGTTTGCGTTGCCTATCGCGCACTTGTCCTTGAATCGAAATATCGCCATTTGGTTTTTATTGTTATTGTTTTTGTTGATGTTGTTGCATTTTGTTTCGTTCGTTTTGCAACGCTTCCCCATTGCAATTTGATAAAGATCGATGCAGCAGCGTTGACGGCGTTGCGGAAGTTTTTCACAGTCTAGAATAACAAAATTATTATGAGCACTGCATCAATGCTTGGACGACAATTCATACATATAGAAATGCATACACAAATATATATAGTATATACCCATTATAAGTACATATATATGCAATGTGTATTAGAGCATTGTCGGCCGCAGCGCACACGGCGTATGCGCAATGTGCAAAGCTTATCAAAATTCAAATGCACTCGGAGACTCTGCCGATGACGATGACGTTGGCAACGCCAGCGGGTCGCCTGCGTTCAAGTTGAATGTTAAACTCAATGCAGGCAAGCGAAGCGCTGCCGTTGACAATTTTCTAAAGGTTCACTCAACACAAAAAACTAAATGCAAATGGGGTATATTAATGAGTGGAATGAACATGTAACAGGGCCAAAAGAAAATAGAAAATACTTTATATGAATTATGTATTATGTTATATTATTATGTATTTAAATATTTAAAATATTTTACTTAAATTTTTTATACATTTCCATGCATTCTCTGCTCAATTCTCTCAGCAACTAAAGGGTATAAATTGCTTCGTCTTCGGACTTGAGCACGGAATGCGTTCGTGACACTGTGTCTGTGTGTATGGGTATGTGTGTGTGTGCCACTTATTTATTTTTAATTTGCTGCGCCACTCTAAGTAAATTTTTCATACAATTCGCGCTGGCCACGCCCCGGCAGCCCCTGCCGAGCTGCCCTAACGTGCTCAGTGCTCTCGTGTCCTTCAAATGCAATTGTGCGATGATTAGAAACGCAAAGCGTTGAGCTGTCTACTTTTTGTTTCTAATGCAGGCAACTCTTTATAAATACATACATATATGAGTAGGTGTCTCTGTATGTGTGTGTGTGTGTGTATGTGTGTGCAGCTGTTTATTTTCATTTTCATAGCGATAGCGTAAAGCTTTTGGCGCACTATCTGCATACACACACACATACACACAAATGCACAACTACTACCATACGATTGTTTATATAGAATATAGATGTGCAACGATTTCCTAGGGGGCTGAACGCATCTGTTCTATGTTAAGACACGTTCGAATGGTTAGGCATTATCCAATTTTGGTTTGCCGTTCAGCGAAAGTTGGCTATAGAAAGAAAAAACCCTTTTAGCCGGGCCAAAATACAAAATCGAAAGTACCTAAAATAAGACGAGAATAATAAAAGTGTTGAAAGAAAAATGAGAGCAATTGTCGGTATTGCTCAGCTGGCGCCCAGTTGCCAAGCTGCACGCACACATAGAGATCTATACACCCGCACACATACACACAAACACACGCACAGCTAGCCAAAAGTGTTCGCACATTTCCGCACTCATCAAAATAGAATCGAAGTGCAATTTTGCAATTGCTATTGCTATTGCAATTGCAAGTGCAAGTGCAACAAGGCGGCAAAACACAGACACACACACACACACACACAAACATGTATACAGTATCTGTAGCCGTGCCTGTATGCATCCGTGTTGTTGCCGCCATTGCCATTTGCCAAAGTCTGGGCAAAAAGTTCTCATTTATGCTGCACGTCGCCGCAGTTCGCATTCTACGTGCGTGTAGCTCACAGATTTGGTTACGGCAAAAGAATCAAAAAGATAGCAGAAAAGTAACTGAAGAAAATTAGACGAATAACGTAAATTGAAGCAATGTCAATACAACTCTGGGGTGAGTGCGGATGGTTATTAAAAAATTTATATACGATATGATTATGATTACACAAATTTTGAGTGCTCTGCAAACAGCGAGCTCTTATCAAAGGCAGCCAAATGCACTGTCTGATAGCACTCTAACTGCAAAGCTAGGAAGAGAATTCCGCCTTCTTTATGTAGCTTATAGCTGTGTAAGAGTAAATTGAACTTCGCTGAGAGAAATTGAAACTTTGAGTTGACCAATGTCAATCAAATAAATTGAGATTAGTTCTAAATTGAATTTGAACAAAAATCTTAGAAAATTCCTAGGACTTGTTTTTCCAAATTCTCGAAAGCTTTTCATTAGTTTTCATATGTTTGATTGACACAAAGCCTGCCACACAATTGGATATCAGGCATTCTATTTCTGTCAACATGCATCACACTTGTGGCTTTGTCTGCCGCTGACATTCAATTGACAACTCAAAAATATGCGGCTCATCAATATGGGAAGCTGGCGTCGTGAATTCCTCTAGCCTAGCCTAGCACAATATATTTATGATTGCGCAGCGGCGCAGCAAAACCAATGCCAAAACAATGCCAACAACAACAGCAAGAACAGCAGCAAACCACGCAAAGAAGAGACAGCAAATAAACGTTAGACGTTGGCAACTAACGTTGGGAAAGCAGCAGCAGCAACAACAGCAGCAACAACAACAACAACAGTGGCAGCAGCAGCGATAGTCCCGGCGAAATGCAGTCGAAACGAATTCGCCACTGCCACTGCGAAAGCTTTTGCTTTGCAAAAGCGCAACCCTTGAACAAGCTTGAGCGAAAAACTTTGTTTTCGGCTGCGTTGGCGCCGCTGCAGCCGCTGAGTGAGTGCATTGCCGGGCGGTCTCTCATTTGACTGAGTGCAGCGGCAGTGGCAGCGGCAGCGGCAGCAGCAGAGTGAGCTTTGAGCATGGCGCCTGTGCCGGCTGCATGTGCGAGTATATTGTGTATATGTGGGTCAGTAGTAGGAACACTCGGTTCGCGTCTGTGTGGATGGGCAGAGCGTTCATTCTAAAGACTCTTGCACGACATTAGTTTAATAATTTTTAGTTGTATTTTATTATTATTGTTTTTGATTTTGTTGCTCTTGTTGTTTGCTCGCCGCTCTGCCGCCTAGCCGCCCTGCCTCCCCCACCCTCCCACTCTAGCTGCTGCCATACATTTCCGCATAGTTGCATTTGTGAGCGCAATTTGTAATTTTGCGAGCGGGCCCGAGAATCCAACGGGAAGACACAGAAATTTGCTGATGTCGCTGCCGTGAGGTGGTTTCAGTGCAATCGGGTATGCGGTGCGGTCGGTCGGTTGTTCTCGCCAACGGTGTTATTTGGTTATTTTTATTTGCCGCCGGTACGCAAAACTTCAGCAATGAAATCTGTAACAGTTGTTGAATATTTCTGAGAACAAAATAATATAATTGAATCTTGATGACAAACAGAAATTGCTGCAAATATGCTGGTAGGCAGCAATGAAAGTGTTCGGCTGGGCAACGCGGCGTATGCGTAATATATCGAGCACGAAAACCAGCAACGAAACAGAAAGTGATGCGTAATTTGCCAGCACGAAAAGTCAAAATCAAAAATAAAAATTAAATAAAACAAGAAGCAATACAAAATTTCAAATTATTCTGTGTGCGCGACAGAGAGAGAGAGAGGAGCAACAGTAAAATAAATTATATAAAGAATTCGAGCGGCTCAATTAACAGGAATATATTAATTAACAATCTGTATATATATATCTATATATTTTGAGAGCAAAGTAGCTGTCATTAATGAGCGACGATAAGCAAAACAAAACGAAAGTACAAACAAGAAGTTGGCCAAAAATAAAACCCAACAGCCTCACGTGAGTGTACCAAATACTGAATGGGTTTTCCAATTTCAAATGGAATCGATGTATTCTCCTGGTGTCGCTTGCTGTCAATTGAAGTGGGAAGAGATTTGCCTCTGAATGCCCCTGAACGTGAACGCATAACCTCCATTAAGGCCGCAATCTTGAACTATGCAAACACACACACACACACACACGACAGCGGCGACAGCGACGACGACGGCAGCGAACGAATCGTAGCCAGTCGACGCTCCGTCGTTAACGCTTTTGCCGCTATTTTTTCCCGATAACAACGACGACGACGACGACGCCATTGAAATACGAATGCAATATTGCAAGCACACACACATGCAGACACACACACACACACACGTAGAGTGAAATTTTCGAGTGTAGTTCTGAGTGAGTGGGCGAAGCTTTGCCTGTCGCACTGCCTAATAGATTTGAGCGTATGAATGTGTGTGTGTGTGTTTGCAAAAATGTATGTATGTGTGTGCGTATTTCTCTAACTATGTATGTGACGCATTTATTAATAGCACTGGCGAAAAGAAAAAAAAAGGAACAGTGAAAAGTGAAACAGTCATCCACAGCGCCGTACTAAAGCTCTATTTTCTGTCTCTTTCTTGCACCCGCTCTCTTTGCAGATCAAGTGAAACTTTAAATACAACAACAGCTAGCAGCCTAAGCACTACAACAACACAAAAGCGCACTTAAGCCTAGCATTAAGAAGCATTCTACAACCACAGTTAGCTGTATACTCAAAATGCATGGACATAATCATCTCCAGCAACAGCAGCAGCAGCAGCAGCAGGTGCCGCAGCAGCTGCAACAAATGTCTGCCACAATGAAGCTGGCTCCACATCCACAGCAACAGCAGCAGCCACAGCAGCAACAATCACACATAGCCATACAGCAACAGCATCCACAACATCCACAGCATCCACAACATCCACAACATCATCCGCATCATCACGCCAAGCTGCTGCGACGCTCGCGCAGTCGCAGCCGCAGCCCCACGCCGGACGGCACGCAGGACTATGATGTGACGCGCATGCGCGAGGAGGACTTTGAGCGTCTGGCCGTCTATCTGGTGCCCGATGTGCAAGCGGAGCGCGGGCTGCCCAATCGAGCGGACAAGACGCTGCCGCGCAGCCTGACGCTCAAGTCCTCCATGGTCTACTCAACGCCAAATGTCAAGGTGAGCAAAAGCTGAGAGAACCGAGAGTAATAGCATAACTAACTGTACCTCTTGCCATTCTCTCTCTCTCTGTCTCTCGCCCTCACAGACTGAAGGAGTTTGGAGCAGCGGCGTCATACCGCGTGGCACACGCTTTGGCCCTTTCGAAGGCATTCCAACCTCCAACTATCCGAACGATAAGAACAAGGCGCGCTATTTCTGGCGGGTAAGCATCCAAAATCTACTTCAAATGGGCTTTAAATGGTTCTTTTTAATTAAGTTAATACTTTTTCATTTCACAAATGTTGTTTTGAATAACCATTGCCATTACTTTGCTGCATTTTGCCACCTACTTTATTTATAAGAACAAAATGATCATCAAACGAGCCAAAACTAAGCCACTAACCAACTGGTATCTCTGAATTTTTAATTTCATGTGCATAAACCCCAATTACTATACAAATCTATACAATTATAATCAACCAACAACCAAAAACCAAATACCAAAAACAACCAAAATATAAATTCCAAATTACAATTTTGCATTTTGTTGCGGATTTGAATTTGAATTTGAATCAGGTGCAGGGAACACGCCACATAACCTACGGGAATATTAAGGTACCACTTTATGCTTTGTTTTATTTGTGACTCTTAACCATCAAGCGCACTCTCTATCTCTATTTCTAACTTTCACACTAACTTTTTCACATTAACTGCACCCTCTCTCTCTCTCTCTCTCTCTCTCTCTCTCTCTGTGCCTGTGCAGGCGCTGCATTTGCGCTCTTTTGTAGTTCGCTTTCTGTGTTTGTCGCTTCCTGTTGCGAATGATCTTAACCAATCAACTCTTCCCTCTCTCTCTCTCCCCTGCTATCTCTATGCAGATCTTCAAGGATGATGATTATTATTATCTGGATGGCTCAGATCGTTCACAGTCGAACTGGATGCGATATGTGGCCTCGGCCTACAGCTTGTCGGTGATGAACCTGGTCGCGTGCCAGCATCAGGAGAACATCTATTTCTATACCACCCGCGACATACTGCCCAATGAGGAGCTGATGGTCTGGTACTGCAAGGACTTTGCCAGCCGCCTGGGCTACGATGTGGATCCGGAGCGCACCATATTCGGCGCCTGCAAGCAGGACGTCGATGTCGAGGAGGAGGAGGACGATGAGCTGCCGCACAAGAAGCCCCTTTACGCCATGGCCGCACCCGAAATACCCGCCGAGGTGGCTGTCAGCCACATCACCTATGTGATGGGTCTGCATTTGCCGGGTGCGCCAGCGCCGGCGCCAGCTCCAGCAGCAGTTGCCCCCGCGCCCGTCGCCGCCCAGTGCTGT